CTGTTCAGTGGTATCTAATACAATTAATTTTACTCTTGAAACGTTTTCATCCACGATATTTCTTGTATAATTCACTATTTTTCGTATTGATACATTTTCTGGTTTTTGGTTGGACATTTTACAGAGGAAACTTTCATGCAACATTAAACCCCCCGTTTTCTATTAGATAATCTAAAATTTGGTGATAAACCTATACGTTATTTTGTAGCCTATTTAACACTCTTTCAGATGATGTGACCTTTGATGTGAAATATATAGTTCAAAGTACAAAAATTCGCTGCAACTTGGAATGGTAAATTATGTCGCAGTTATCAAATTAGCTTAATATACTCACCAATGTCCTTGATGATACATATTTAAAATCGGCCATTAACGGCCATGGCAAAAATGTTTACTTTATTCATAAATTGGTAAATTGATGTTTTAGCTACAAAGATAATCAAGCGGAAAATTGCCGCAATTCGTCGTTGTGCCGAAAAAAATCATTTTGTGAGCAGTCCTCGGCCGGAATTAGCGCGCGTTGACGACGAAATAAACAGCGCCCTCTGGTGCCGACATTCGTACACTACATTGCACGGGATAGCTATCGCGCATTCAACATTGTCCTGTCTAGCTACAGCTAGACAGGAATCAGCTTCGTTTTAAGAACTTCCCTTTGCTTACAAAGGTAACTTGTAATTGTAGATTTGAAGGACATATTCGGACATAAAGTGGTTGGTATTTGAGAATAATTTGGGATGATTTTTCTTACCAGGGAAATGGGGATAAGTTTAAAGCTAATTCAGTACTAACCAGTGAAGTTATGTTGTTTTCGCTTATCTGTGTTGAAGACATTTCCCAGAGTTGTTTTTGATAAAAACTGTATTTAGTGTCGTTGTCCCGAATTTGGCGATTTTCCAACCCTTTGCTACTGACAAAAAACAGGATGCTTGATTTTGGAGTGACCTCGTAGCAAAGATTCTTTTTGTGAAAAGGAATACGGGTTGGCTGCAAGATTTAAAAACAATGTTTGAGAAATGAAAGTCACTAAAAATACATCGATATTCTGCGTTATGTTTTCTGTTGCAGAGAAAAAAATCATGTCGGAAACACGCTTTATTTCAAACCGGGAAATCCTTGATAAATACTTGAAAGGAAAATGGATTGGGCGACATAGACCAAGTTATGTGCGGATCGCCAGGGAAATAATCCAAGACCATGGCCTTGTTGGAACAAAGCACACAGAAGAAAAAGTAACAAGGCGAATGAGGATTCTTCGGGAACAATGGAGAAAGAGATCAAAGGGTGAAAGGGGTTCATCAGAAAAACAGCACCTCGAAGAATTCCTGGATGAGCCATTTTTGGATGTTGATCGAGAAGAAGGCATGAAAGAATCTGAGGCGTACACATCATCACTTACTGTTGTCGAGGCCCTGAATTTATCCTCGGTGTCATTTGGATCGCCAGACAATCGTCAAGACAAACAGACCCAATGTGATCGTCCAAAGCTACCTCTCCACGAAGTAGGCACACGACAGCGGTTTCGGAGGACAAACTCCATCCTACAAGATTTGCGAGAAGAAGCTGAAGAAAATGGCGTCTCTACCACCCAGCTTCTGGGGTATTTACTTCATAAAGAAAACTACATCAGCAACAGGAAAACGGCAGATGCTGGGCTGAAACTTTTCAACAATTCGTCGATTGATAATGAGTTGGCTGAGGACAAAGGACTCTACATCTTATCTTCGTATAATCTGGGCAGAACATTGTACACTAACTTGAGACGTGATTTGAAAGACCACGTGACACTTCCAGCTCATTACAGGTTAATGGAAAAGAAGCGCTCTGTAACTCCTGAATTGCGGCCTTATAGTCATGGTGATTATGAAGGCATCACAGCTTCTCTGAAAGAATCATGCACCATACATGTGAAAAGATTTATTGAAGCTCACCCAGAAATTGAACCAGGAGAGTATAGAGTAGTATGTAAAGACGGGCTTGACGGATCCGGGCGGCATTCTATTTATCACCAGAAAGGGCAGACTGAGACATACAACATGATTTTGTATATGTGGATACTACTGGAAGTCATCAGAGAAGCTGGTTCATCGGCAGAAAGCTCACCTAAGGCATCAGGTGTTTACCAATTTGAATTATTGAATGCTTGTTAATAGAATATTAAAAATTAACCCTCTAACTTTTTCCTTTTAATTTTCTCTGTCTCCTCCAACGTATACATCTTTTAAAAATTCATAAAATTGAATTAAATTTAAATGAACGATTCATAATTTCATCATTATACGCAGGATCAACAGTGTGGAAGGAAAGGGCAGCCAATAGTCCTGAAGCTGCTGTTCCCTTGTTCCTCGTGAAGGGCAAAGAAGATAAAGAGCTC